AGAGACAGAGACAGACAAATTTAGAGACAGAAAGAGGGACGGATGGACGGAGAGAGAAAGACAGACAGAGACAGAGAGAGGGAGGGAGGAGAGAGGGAGGGAGACAGACAGACACACAGAGGCAGAGAGATACAAAGAGAGAGAGAGAGAGAGAGAGGGAGGGAGAGATACAGACACACAGAGGCAGAGAGTGACAAAGAGACAGAGAGAGGGACGGACAGATGAAGGGAGACAGACAGACAGAGACAGAGAGAAAAAAAATTAGAGACAGAGAGGGAGGGAGGGAGGGAGGGAGGGAGGGAGGGAGGGAGGCAGACAGACAGAGAAAGAGAGAGAGAGACAGAGAGACAGAGAATTTACTAGTGAATTTAATATTTTCACAAAATCATGAAAATTTAACACTGCAAATATTATTTTGTACCCATACAGTAAGCTACTTTATGGTAAAGATTCAAACTAGCAACAAAACATCAAATTTGTAATAAAATGTGTGGCCAATGTATTGTAATGTAATGTATTGTACACATGTATTGTTGAATTTCTACATTAATAAAATAAATAAAACACACTCTAAACTAAAAGTAATTATACACAAATATCAAAAGATCATACTACTTGTACATGTATTATGTACATGTTTACACATAATTCAAATACATGTACTATACATGTAATTCATGATGGCACAGTATACTCCTCACAAAAATGTGTACAACAAAATTTTATCACATTAAAAATTACAACGTGCAAGGTAAATTAATACATAAACAATATTGGAATATCACACAAATAAATATAAAGAAAAACATGTATTGGAACTGGTTTATTATCAACTAGCATGTACTACATTACATCATGTTGTAATAATGTGTGTATCATTCAATATACAACTCACATCATCTCTTGACTCAAGGTCAGCCCCTTTACTGAGTAACCACTGGACAGCATTACTCCTGTTATATAAAGCTGCTTCATGTAATGGAGTCTTCTTATACTATAAGAAATAAACACAACAAATGAAGTACATACAAAATGATAAATAAAATCAATTTTATTACACCATTATTATACAGTTCTTATAAAATCACAGTATTTTCAACCAGTAACTAATAATGCAAGCATAATAATTCAATGACTGAATAATTAGTTATAATGTATGGTATATAACTACAATGTATTTTATACCAACATTGTTATTTTGTGTGCTATACTTCACAATAGAAATGTATAAAATACATTGTTTCGTCATAAACTGCAATAAAGATAATAAGGACTAATCCTTGAATAAACACACACCATCAGAAAGAAGGGACTATGAGTGTCATCAATA